ATATTATATTGTATTATGTGTTGTCTAAAAAGTTAAAGTTTTTTCCGATAGATAATATTTCATACGTTCAAAAGTGCAGAAGGCACTTTGATATCATAGATGCCTAAGCTCACCAACGGTCGACTGGTAATCCGGACGACCGTTAAGATCGTTAAGGCGTCGAGATATATTACGATCGTGATATAGCGATCGTATGTGTCGATGGCAATGAACAGTTGTCGAGCGATGTCACGACAGTTCAATATCATGAGCATATAATAATAGACTAGTAACCAGGACGAATGTTAGGAGGACGAGATATATTGCGATCGCAATATAGCGATCGTATGTGTCGACTGCACTGACCAGTTATCGAAGCGGATATGTCTGGTCAAATTCAGTCAATTTGAACATATTAAATCTTAATAGTTAGAGCCACAAATCACGGGATTAAATGACCCAGTATCAAACACGATCTAACGGTTGCGTATTCCAAATAGTCAACTTCTGTAACCTACCGGATTTTTAGGTAAACGGTTTATTTTATCACTTTAAATATGAAAAACAGAAGGAAAAAAAGGTACGTTCTTCTTAAGAGAGATTTATGATTTTCTACTATGATTGAACTGAGAGAGTTCTACAATTCCCATTTTTTCTGACTTGAGCGTCGGAGTGCCTTCGCAGGTACCCACCCCACTCTCCCTGAAACGTGCTGACTAGGAGAAGGACGTGAAGATAAAGACATCCTAAGAAGAGAAGAAGCAACTGATCAGGTTCATATTTCGGTTCCAACTTTTATACTCAAACATTTTGGCGCCCACCGTGGGGTCGAGATTTGACATCCCCAAAGAAGACCACAAGAGCTATGGGAGACAACAACACTTTAGATCTAATCAGGCAACTGTAGGCGCAAATCGAAGCACAGGCTCAAACCATACGGGAGCAGCAGGAAATTCAACGTAAACAGCATGAAGAAATAGCGGCATTGAAAACGCCGCGTCCCCCGCCTGAAATATCGGCCTCTAACCACCAGGACGATAATGAAGGCAGCCATCACGGAGGACCCTCTGAACAAGCCGAAGGGGGAAGGAGGGGACCCACCTCTCTACGGCTTACTAACTTGCTCCCCTTTACGGAAGCCATCATGCAAGCCCATATGCCAGAAAAGCCCCCTCCAGTATTAGAGCGATATGACGGTTCAGCGGATCCCGACAATCACCTTCGCAACTTCATAGACGCCATGGCATTCTACACGGATAACGATCCCGTCATATGTCGCGCTTTTTCGTTATCTCTGAAGGACGAGGCACTAGAGTGGTATCACACCCTCCCTCAAAATTCGGTTGATTGCTTTGCCACCGTAGAAACTTTATTTCATAAACAGTATGCTACCAACCGGAGGCCAGAAATGACCCCCGCTGAGCTTGTCAACACCAAGCAGGGGAAAGATGAAACCTTGAAAGCCTTCATGCAGCGGTACAATGAGACGACCCGACGTGAGGAACGTAAATCACACGTTCATAATCAGCAACCTACCTTCCTGTTTACGTCCAGGGTATTTCGCTGAACAGTTATACGCAGATCCCCCCAAATACATGGAGGAGCTCTAGGCAATGATCGCGAAGTTTATTCGCATAGAGGATCTCAGGACCTCTCGGAAAAAACAACAGGAAAGTCCGACAAATAATAACAGGAAGGACATAAAACGGTCGTCTAACGACCATAAAAGTAATCGACCTCCTCGAAGAGAGTTGGGATGGACACCTAAATACGAGCGTTATACCTCACTCAACGCACCCCGGACAGAGGTGCTCGAAGAGGCCTTGCATGCTGAACTCCTGACTGTTCGACAAAAAGCTACTCCAAAGAACGCTGACGGTAGTAAGGCCTGTCGATTTCACATGAACCATGGGCATGATACTGAAGAATGCAACATGGTGAAGGATGAGTTGGAAAGACTCATCCGCGCAGGCTACCTCCAAAATTACGTCAAGGAGAAAACATCCACCAGAGCGACAACCCCCCTCCGAAAGGAGTCCTCCCGACGAAGCCCCGAACGATCGCCTCCTAGGGACGAGCGACGTAGAAGGTGATCCCGCAGCCAACCTCGGCGTTCGGAGAGAGAGAGATCGGTCTGAGGCCGATTCGACACCATATCCGGTGGCTTCGCAGGGGGAGGAGCGTCAGCTTCCGCCAGGAAGCGACATTTGAGACAATTGAAGTCGGTGAACATGGTGGATCGGCAGCCTCGGCCTATACCTGATATCACGTTCACTAACGCAGATTTTCACGTGCCCGACCCGATCATGATGACCCTATGGTCGTCACGGTTGAAATAGCTCGATATGATGTCAGCAAGGTCCTCGTCGATCAGGGTAGTTCGGTCAACATCCTATATTGGTCCACCTTTAAAAAGATGGATCTGTCCGAAGACCTCATAGCCCCTTTCAACGAACAAATTGTAGGATTCTCAGGGGAAAGAGTCGACACACGGGGGTACCTCGACCTACGAACTCGACTCGGAACATGCCGGGATGCACCAGAGCTTAAAGTCAGGTTCCTACTGGTAGAGGCCAATACCTCGTATAATGCTTTAGTAGGACGACCTTACTTGAACGCGTTCGGGGCCATTGTGTCTACCCCTCACCTAGCCATGAAATTCCCCACAGAGCGCGGTACCATCTCCACTGTCAAGGCCGATCAACGAACAGCTCAACAATGTTACGTCGCAGGACTCAAAGTCACACCATTTTTGTCTGCGCGGAGGGCAAGAGGAGCTGAAACGACGACGATCGAGTTGGATCCCAGAACCAATATAGACGAACGTCTCCATCCCCAAGGAGATGTCAAACCCTTTCCGTTAAGAGCGGATGCGTCCAAAACCACGAACATCGGCGGGACCCTTGCTTCACATGATGAACAGGGTCTGACACACATGCTACGCACCAACGCTGACCTATTCGCATGGGTGGTCGCCGATATGCCAGGGATCCACCCCAGCGTCATGGCCCATAAGCTATCGATCTTCAAGGAGGCACGCCCGGTTGCGCAAAAGAAACGACGATTTGGGGAGGACAAACGTGACGCTATCCAGGTCGAGGTCACGAAGCTGAAGAACGCCCGGTTCATCAGAGAGATAACCTATACTACATGGTTGTCAAACGTAGTCATGGTCAAGATGTCTAACGGTCAATGGAGAATGTGTGTAGACTTCACCGACCTCAACAAGGCGTGCCCTAAAGATTCATATCCTTTGCCTAGCATCGATCGTTTGGTAGACGGTGCGTCCGGCCATGCCGTACTCAGTTTTCTCGATGCATACTCGGGATACAACCAAATCCCTATGTACGAGCCAGATCAGAGCAAAACATCTTTTATTATCGAACGCGCTAATTACTGTTACGAAGTAATGCCGTTCGGTCTGAAAAATGCAGGCGCCACATATCAACGCCTCATGGATAAGGTTTTCCGTCATCAAATCGGATGATGCATGGATGTCTATGTCGACGACATGGTTATACGGAGTCATTCTATGGAGCAACATTTAAAGGATTTGGCGGAAGTGTTCCTTCAGATCAGGAGATACAACATGCGGCTTAACCCTTCCAAATGTACCTTCGGAGTACCGGCTGGTAAGTTCTTAGGATTCATGCTAACGTGCAGAGGCATCGAAGCCAATCCCGACAAATGTAAAGCCGTACTCGACATGAAAAGCCCCCAAACCCTGAAGGAGGTACAACGTTTTGTCGGTAGGCTCACAACCTTATCCCGCTTCATTCCAAAACTAGCCGAACACATCAGGCCCATCCTGAAGAACATGAAGAAGGGCACCACCCAGCATTGGGACGATGATTGTGAAACAGCCTTCAACGCTGTCAAACACATTCTTACCAGCCCTCCGATCATGGCGAGACCGATCGCTGGATCCGACTTGCAGTTATACATCGCAGCATCCCATCACGCTGTCAGTGCTGCTTTGGTGCAGGAGACCCCCTCCCTTAAGCTCATATATTTTGTTAGCCGTACATTGCAGGGCACGGAAGAACGATACTCTCAAATTGAGAAGGTGGCACTGGCCCTGCTCACAGCCTCACGACGACTACGACCGTACTTCCAAAGTCATCAGGTGGTTGTCCGTACTAATCACCCGATCGCCAAGATCCTCCGCAAACCCGATTTAGCAGGATGGATGGTCTCCTAGTCAGTAGAACTCTTAGAATTTGGACTCCGTTACGAACCTCGGGGCTTAGTTAAGGGTCAACACTTGACAGATTTCGCTGCCGAGCTCACGCCCGTTCCTGACGATTCGACACCGAAATGGCTCCTCAACGTGGACGGATCTTCAGACAAAAGAGGGGGAGGAGCCGATACCGTTCTAGAAGGACCAAACGGTCTAATCGTGGAGCAAGCCATCACGTTCATATTTCCAGCCAGTAACAACCAAGCCGAATATGAAGCTCTGATCGCTGGTCTAACCCTAGCCAAAGAACTCACGGTCGCTCGTCTAGAGTGTCGGATGGATTCACAGCTGGTGGTCGGGCATATGAATGGGACGTATCAGGTTAAAGATAACCAATTAATGCGCTACTTCCATAAAGCTAGCACTCTACTCCAGGATTTCGTCGAGGTTAGCATTATCCATGTACCCCGGGAGCAGAACGCGAGAGCAGATCTTCTTTCGAAATTAACTCACTCCAAGGAGCGAACACAACTATCTTCAATTATCAAAATGATGCTCGATCACCCAGTTGTGGAAACTTTCGCCACTGATGTACCGCCACCAATGACAGATTGGAGACAGAATGTTAAGGATTTGATGATGAAGCTGGAGCGAGGGGAAAAAATTACCGCGAGTGATTCAAAACGCATCGCACGTTTCCTGTACATAGGCGACGACCTATATCGACATGGCCATAGCACACCTTTGTTGAAGTGCATAGCGGCGGATGAGGCTGACTATGTCCTACGCGAGCTGCACACCGGGATCTGCGATTTTCATTCAGGGAAACGTACCCTCCGAGCGCGCGTCCTTCGAGCAGGATATTTCTGGCCGACACTCGACCGAGATTGTGAGACGTTTGTCAAAAAATGTCTCTCATGCCAGGCGCACGGTCATGCCTTCCACGTCCCTCCCGACGAATTGCATAGTCTCATCTCCCCATGGCCATTCGCCAAGTGGGGAATCGACATCGTCGGCCCCTTACCACTCGCTAAGGCACAAAACAAATATCTCCTAGTGGCAGTCGATTATTTCACTAAGTGGATTGAAACTGAACCACTTTCCGTTATCAACGCCCAGCGAGTACAGAAATTCATCTAGCAGTTAATATGCCGGTTCGGTTTGCAACAGAAAATCATCACCGACAATGGCCGCCAGTTCATTGAAAAGAAATTAGAAAATTTTCTGAGAAATTTGGGGATCCAGCATGCGACCAGCTCGGTCGAACACCCACAGACTAATGGCCAAGCCGAAGCCGCGAACAAGGCTCTGCTCACGAAGTTGAAAAAGCGACTCGGCGAAGCTAAATGTTTATGGGTGGAGGAACTACCCGAAGTCCTCTGGGCGTGCAGATGCACCCCACACGGATCCACTGGGGACACTCCGTTCAATTTAACGTACGGCACCGATGCCATGCTCCCAGTTGAAGTCGGGGAGCCATCCCTAAGACGCAACATCACCGATATGACGCTTAACAATGAACAGTTGCAGATAAATCTCGACACCCTACCTGAGCGTCGAGAAGTCGCCACAATCCGTGCGGAAACGCAGAAAAGACTCTCGTCGTTATAACACCAAGGTCAAGCCTCGATCGTTTAAAGGTGGCGACCTTGTATGGCGGAAACGTGGAGAAGCCAGGAAGAATAAAGCTCACGGCAAGTTAGCGGCAAACTGGGAAGGACCGTTTCGAGTCATTGAGAATTTAATGAATGGAGCTTACCGCCTACAGCTCCTCACTGGACAATCCGTCCCCAACACATGGAACGCTACTCACCTCAAATATTATTTTAGTTAAAGTTTATTTATGTTCAGAACACACCATTTTCCTCATAATTTATATATTCTTCGTTTATATTATTCTCAAATGTCGAATCCCAGGGTCAAATCGTTTTGCATTTCCTCGACACGTCACACGGTCGACCACAAGTCAGCAAGTAGAAACAGGTACTCAGCCAAATATAGAGTTCACAAGCGAGCGTCCGCACCCTGATGAATCCTAATACCCAACTATATTCGGGATCCACTCCCTCTGGTAGATGTTCTCTCGTGAACACCCAGTTTCGTTAAGGGATACACTCCCTCTGGTAGATGTTCTCTCTTGAACACCCAGTTTCGGTAAGGGATACACTCTCTCTGGTAGATGTTCTCTCTTGAACACCCAGTTTCGTTAAGGGATACACTCCCTCTGGTAGATGTTCTCTCGTGAACACCCAGTTTCGTTAAGGGATACACTCCCTCTGGTAGATGTTCTCTCTTGAACACCCAGTTTCGTTAAGGGANGTGAACACCCAGTTTCGTTAAGGGATACACTCCCTCTGGTAGATGTTCTCTCTTGAACACCCAGTTTCGTTAAGGGATAAACTCCCCCTGGTAGATGTTCTCCCCTGAACACCCAGTAAAATTCGGGGCATTACTTCCCTAAATCGCTTCTCACCTTCGATGGTCGTTCATAAGATGTTAGCATGTTCAGCGTAGACGCTCGACACAATCGTTTAACACATCATAACGTGACAGGTACTTTCGCCATAAAACCGAACTCTATTGCCTCATCACAAATATTCCAAAGTCATCACATTCAAATTCGTGCCAACACACAAACCAAGTTCATTACATCCAAATTCAAAAACCAAATTCAGTATGTCCTAATCTATTACAATATTTGGAGATTCATCAACAGCTTTTTCCGCCGCCACAACACTTGGCTCCTCATCCGCGGCCACTTCTTGAGGTCCTTCCGTAGCGACCGTTACATCCTCGATACCATCTTCAGCTTCCATGAAAGCATCTGCTGGAATCTCCGCCAGAGGCCGCATCTGACCCTCATATATATCTTTGCGTACGTCAAATGCCACCCCCTCGGTCGACACTTGGAGAAGATGCGCAACTTGCCTCAACGCTTTCTTAAAGCCTCTTGTGTGCTCCACCACTATTGCTTCGCGCATTTCTTCTCTTTCCTCTCGATCTTCAGCAGCAGCGGCAACTAGCTCATCCCTCTCCCTCAACAAGCTATCTCTTTCCTGAGCCACCTCAACCACGGTCTTTCGTAGTCACGCCGATTCGGATACCACCTAATCCTTTTCCAGTCGTAACTCATCCCTCTCTTTCTTCAAGGCAAGGCCGGCAGCCTGAGTGGAGTTGAACAATGCCTACCCTTCACGTAACAGCTGTTCCGATCGCCGTAGCTGTTGTTCACAGGTGGCATGAGCGTCAGCCTTCTCTTTCAGTAGTGTCCGTGCTTTATCCAACTCAGCCCTCAGGGCGCCTCTGTCAGAAGCGTACGCCATGTGCCAAGCCGCCATCGTTATTCGACTTGCCATCTCTAACATATCGTCGGCTATCTGCTGCTCCGTCATACTCTCCACCACCTTCTTCTCAGAGTCCTCCAAATTAAAATCAATTTTGTGGCTCAAGTTGAAGGAAGGGTCCCATAAGCCCTTCGGAAGGGGACGATCTGTGTCCTCGGCGACCTCCTTCATTCTTTTTGACGCGTCTCCAGTAGCGTCGACCAGTTTACCTTTTCGTTTGCTTACCAGTGGCTGCTCCTCAACAACCACTACTTCGTCAAACGACGCCACTTGCACGCTCGGAATAGATGGAAGGTTTTGCACGGGCTCGGAGGAGGGACCTGAACGCCTAGCAACCTCCTTGCCAGTGTCATTGTCAGTGTCGATGGCATGGAACCAATTGCGAACGGATCCTTTTCTCCCCATTATCTCTGCCAAACACAATATCCATCCAACATAATCAACAACAATCCAATAGCATACACAAATAACAATAAGAAAAACATACCAAATACCCTCGAGCCGAAATCATCATGCTCAAGACAATTTATGAGCCGACGGGAAGAAAAGGGGTGTGGCAATGCCGTCAACACATTCAACGCCTCCAACTCCCCGATCATCATCTTATCCTCGTCCCACGAAGTGAACTTCAGTGGATCCTGTGTCCAATATAGAGGAAATTTCGGATTTCCATCTTCATCGAAAAATACGCTCGTCTTGCCTCAAGGATTGAAACTTTAAAAAACTTTTCCTTAAAACCCCTATACGACTCCAAGTAAAGTTCCAGGAGAGCATCACCCAGTTCCGAAATTAAGGATACCCAACCCCTTGATAACAGTTGAAAAACTGTTATTTTTATGATTAAAATTGACACTAAAAGCAACTTTTACACTTAGAAACTAGCTTGAAATCATGCTTTTCTT